GGAACATGCAGCGGACGAGATGGCCCGCTACTACGACCGGGGTCGCGAGGCAGCCCCTAAGTACCAAGAGGGCGACCGGGTCTGGCTCAATGCCCAGAACTACACGACAGACCGCCCGACCAAAAAGCTGGACCATAAATGGCTAGGCCCCTTCAAAATCGTCAAAGTCGTCTCCCCGGCCGCTGTCAAGCTCCAGCTTACCGCCTGACAGAAGGGGATACACCCAGTCGTGTCCGTGACGAACGTAAGGCCCCACCACCCAGATGAAATCCCAGAACGACCCCCTGACCCCTGCCCAGGCCCAGAACTCGTAGATGGAGAAGAGGAATATGAGGTGGAGAAAATATTAAACTCTAAGTGGTTACGCCGGAAACTCTGGTATTTGGTAAAGTTCTCTGGCTGGCCGAACTCCGAAAACGAATGGCTCCCCCAGAACCGGCTGACACATGCCCCTGACCGAATCGAAGAGTTCCACCAGGCGCACCCCCAAGCCCCAGGGAGAGAGAGGGAAAACCCCCTGGCCGCTTCGAGGCGAAGCGGCTTAAGGAGGGGGTGATGTCAGGGCACACCCGCCTGACCTGCCTCCACCTGGGCCCACCTCACCCGGTTCCCCTTCTCCCACCCTGCACCCCTCCTTCATACCCCTTCCCCCTCTATCCCTCTCCCACTTCCACTTCTATTTCCATTTCTATTTCCATTTCTATTTCCATTTCTATTTCTACTTCACACGGACGACCTTTCCCTTATATCCATGTATTATTGACCCGCCCGCGACGCACACACGACGTGCCTAGCCCCGGACGACCCCGGACGACCCCGGACGGCTCTAGGGCGCAACCTAGTGCGCGCGCGTGCAGCATACACCCTCGGGATCCCCCACAGGGACACCCGGGTGACTGCGGCTGTATGCGGGGTGACGTGGCAGACCTCATGTGACCCAAGCCGCATGTATATAAACACACCTGGGGTGGGAACCGAAGAAGTAACCTTCTTCTCAACATTCCCACTTCAGGTAAGTAGCATAGCTCCCCTTTTAATAACAATTCAACATTCCCACTTCAGGGATCGCCGTCCCACATCGGGGCTGCCAGTACGCACGCCCGATCCACCCCCCGTGAGGTCCTCAGCACCGGACACTACGCCCGGACCGCCTCTACCACAGACACGACCCTGACAATTATGGTGCGAATATTCAATAATATCAATTCAGTGAACCCTAGTTGTCCCAATTGTGAGACGTTGATGGCAGAAAACTTTGGCTTGCTTACCTGGAGAGAGAGTGGTTGATTTTTGGCTGGAAGACAGCAGCCTAGGTGGTGTGATCCTATCTCTGTCAGAGTCAGCCCCAAATATGCCACATTCAAGCCTATGGACAGTGTGCAAGAATAAACTCAATACAATAGCTGGACAGGGGCACGACTATTTGGGCGTAAGAAATTCATGTCAATTTTTGGCTGCCTGATAATTTACAGGAGGATGCAAGGTAGGAATATCTATCCTACATAATCGGTCTGCAAGGAATTGCATGGCCCCATGTCCTCAATAGAAGTGATAAGTACATATAAGTATTGTATAAGTGGATTATAAGCATCGATAGAAGGCCAATAGAAGGAGGATTTAATAATACATTCAAACAAATCAATGGCAGATTATTTGGGGGGAAAAAGAAAAGGTGGAAAGAACTATCGGACATTGCCAGGTTTGTCGCTCAACAACTCTCTGTGTTACAAAAATGGGGCCAGAGGTGCCCATTTTCGTCTGTTCGAGGCACAGGGAAAGGGAAAGGGGAGGGGAGGTGGTTCATTAGAGTTTACAGATGTTAGCACAGCGGGTTTTTTGGTTGTAATTGATTGGTTAAACTATATTACTATATAAATCACATGATACAGAACCCATAAGAGTCTAAAATGGGAAATTCCCATTTCCATAACACTCTGCCATGTGGCTGTCGTGCTATGGTCTCATTGTCTTGCATGCCCCAGCAACCATGCAACTCTGGGCTTGAGGAATCAGTCGTATCACTGTAAGGGGTTGGTGTAGGTTCCAACCCCAGTTCTCCTCAATCCTCAGGTTGTCAATAAAGTTGAGCTGTATGGAGCTTTAATTATCAATGATGGGGAGGAAAAGGAGTTCAGTTCCTTTTCCCAAATTCCCACATTATTGTATATACATTGTTTATACATGTTTAAATCGAGACAAATATACAATAAGATAATGAATGAAGGGTGGGGTTACCACACCTTACAATCACCCTGAACCATTTTCTCTCCACTTCACGATGTCCATCACACCTTCCTTGCTTCCCTAGTACTAGTGAGCGAATTTCAGCCAGATCGAGCATCTCCAAACAAAGCCTGGGCCAAGCTTTCTGGGTTGCCAGCACAAGAACTCACCTGCTGTGAAAGGCCTTCGGCTATGCACTCCAATGGAGACTGTGGGTTGGCCACAATATTTGGGTCACCATGACCAACCTCCATCCAATTCCCACTGTCCTGTTATGGGAGTGTCTGGCATTGTATCGAGCAGGCACTGTCTTAGCCCTCTGTCAGGGCACACCCACCTGACCCGGCCCCACCTGGCCCAACCTGACCCGATACCCCACTGTCCACCCCTCCTCAGCTCCTCCCCCCTTTTCCTTCATCTATGTTTTCTCACTTTCCTCCTATCTTACTTCTTCTTTTATTCTACACGGACGACCTTCTTTGTATCAATGTACCATTGACCCATCTGCAGCATGCCCACCATACACCCAACCCAGGCACCTTGGGCGACTTCCTGCTGTGCCCAGTATGCACGCCTGCACCGGATGCCCTCAGGATCTCCCACAGAGACACCCAGGTGGTTAGGGCTGTGTGCAAGGGTGACGTGGCACCTGTCATGTGATCTAAGCTGCATGTATATAAACAAACCTGAAGTGGGAACCGAAGAAGTAGCCTTCTTCTCAACTTTCCACTTCAGGTAAGTAGTACAGTATCCCTCCTTTAATGACAATACCAACTTTCCACTTCAGTCTAAGTGGCCAGGGACCGCTGTCCCACATCGGGCCTGCCAGTACACATGCCCGATCTGCCCCCGCCAGGCTGTCAGCCCCGGACGCTACACCTGGGCTCCCTCGACCCTGGATGAGTCCCTGACACCCTCCAACATGAAACATATTTGCAGATATGCTCGAAATGGAAGGGACTTCTCAGGTGGGGCACACAGTGCACATGGTCCTAACGGGATACCTGGAGAGGCTGACATGATTGCTGCTTGTTTCGTCGCTGTTGTCCAAGCAGAGGGGGCATCACTCCGTCCCAACCCTATCGACTTCTCCACACATGTAGCTGGCCCTTACCCTGTGAGTCACTGATGAATGTTTTTGGGATATTGATGTCATAGCCGAGTCTGTGCTAACCCCTATCCCCAACTCTTTTCACCTTGTTCATAGTTCATCCCCATGTCTGAGACCCCTCTCATCTTATTTGGCCTGCTTGAACAATATACCCCCACTACAAGGAGCAGAAAATCGCTTGCCAAGGCCACAAAATAATACCCTCATTAAATGTAAGTGTTTGTGTGTTAAGTTACATTTGACACCTGTTGAGAAAGTCCACCAGTTTGACGAATCCAATTCTGAAGATGCTTACATGTGTTTTCATCAACAAGATGTCAAGTCAGTCCATAAGTGTTACGAGGATGGGGAGAATTCCTCCCTTCTCGACCCATTCTTATAGTGGGATGGCGATCATTGTATCTAGTCTGTACCATAACGGGATGTGTAATCGATGAGCGTTCCCAGTCTTGCATGAGAGCAGACAATCAAATTCCCATCGATCGTAGTTCGTGATGGAGTGAGCTATTATGGGATTGATTGTGTATAGTCGGAGACAACAGGATGGATGGGTCAGCCATGGGTACTTGGCGCTCCTCAATGGAGCGTACTGTGTGTGTGGTGGCGAGTTGTAAGATGTGTGAAGATTCCGTATTGTTGCTATTGGTTACTTGGCATTCGCAGTGCAAACATACCGGTAATGGGTTGTTAACATGAGTGTACAGTGAGGAATGACTAGTGGGGCCTTCAGTGACTTGGCATTCCTAAAGGGAACGTACTGTTGGTGAGGAGGTATGATGACTGATGAGGGAGGGACCAGACGATGGATGGGCAGCTACTTGGTGCTCATGTAACGAGCATACCGGCATCACGGGAGTATGGGCCTCAGAGTATTCACGATCTCTAAGATTGTAGTATGTCATCATCCGTCGGGTGCCAGGGGGAGAGCTGAGTGATGATGTCCCGTAGGATACAGGTTCCATAGGATGGTACTCAAGTCGAGAGTCTTCGACTCGCGACTTCGAGTTCTCACGGCAAGGACCGTCAGAGGACTCGATATAACCAGACATATAGGACATGTTGAGAGTTGTACAAGCACACAGATTCAGTTGAGTCACAAGAGGGGTTGTTACAAGGGATGGTGCACAAGACAGTTGTAGAGTGTTGTAGTAGTTAGCAGGAACTGCCTTCAGTGGTTTCCATACATGACGCATGACTATCTACAAATGGAAAGGTCATGGGAAATCCCGAAAAATACAAACAACCTCGGCCAGCACCAAAACCCCGATGGGGAAAGCTTTGCACAAGGGGGGGGGGGAATGGAGTAGAATGGGTAAAGATAGTAGGGTATCGGGATAGAGAGTAAAGGAGAGAGAGAGAGGGAGAGAGCGATGGAAAAGGGAGGTCTTTGACCATGTGACGGATATGGTCGTTGGAGACTCTATATCTGTAACAGTAAGACCCATCGGACGGATACAATGCCTACTGAAAAGGTCTCATGGCTATGGCAGGAGCTTATCAAGGTGAAAGATCTTGCTAACTTAACCATTTCGTGTGAGGTCAAGAAGTTGGAGCTCAATAAGGATGCACATAGCGTTCTCGAAGCAAGGATCAGGTTTATCGAATTGAAGAGGAAGCATCCACAGTTCTTGTTGAGCACAGATGACCAACTACTTGTGGACCCCAAATGCGTGTTGGCCAAGTGGCTGAAGATGATGTTGGAGCAGAAGTAAGTCGACAAGGATGGAACTGAGGGTATTTAATTTGCTAACATGAAAAAGCGCTGTGTCGCTGAAAATACCGCGATGAAGGATCCTACAGACTTAAATTCACCCTATCTGGCCCTTGAAGAGCAAGTGCATCCATGTGAGCGTGCCGAGTTATTTGCTAAGGAGATCAAGTGCCAATGTGAGATGAGAAAGAACTTGGGCTGGGAGGATTATTTAGATGTCAGAGTCAAGATCCACATATTAATTGTCTTCTTTCTGATCGTCTGCCTATGTTAGCTCCCGACAGGTTTACCCATCTCAGCTCACTTTTTTCATGCTCTTTCCTTCACTGTATCACTTTCAAAGCCCTTGGTAGAGCACACAGGATGTTCACCATTCTCGATCCGAATACATACAGGCCGAGGTGGGCCCACCCCCAGTTCCACAATTATTTTCATCAACTCTCTCATCTGAGGGTGGACTTCCGTCCCACTCACTGAAAGAGTTGACTGTTAATATCAAGTCGGATGAGGGTGATGAAGGCTCTCATGATGAGCCAAAGGAAGAGTATGTGCAGAAGATCAATGAGCAGTGGAGGTTCGACGATGATGCAGTAGTGATGGAAGAGGAGTAATGGGTATTGGACTTTGATGCTCGGTATGGTGTTCATTTGCATGCATGGGTCTTTGGGACTCATCTGCCATGATAGGTATATTCCCTTGCATCTTTCTCTATTTGGGGAATCGGAGCTCATTGCGTTATCGGTGGACAAAGGCCACATCCACAACGCTGAACTGTATGCCAACACTAAACAGGAGTCTGGTCAATGGGCACTTATGGCAGCATGGCACCAGTACATCGCAATGAAGGGAATGGCGATTAAAGAATGGATGCATCAGCAACTTATAACAGCTGGGGCAGCATGGTGTTACTCCTAGTCAACCTGTTCCTAACGGCAATCTTCTTTCAAAACCGACACCGGACCAGATACAGAATGCGGTGCTCGCCATGTAAACATCAAGTCAACTCCTCATGAACACCTCTGCCCTGGCTGCAGTTACACAGCACTACAGCAATCCGGCATGATCCCCATGTATAACAGGCAGATGCCTCAGTCGGCAGCACATTGGAAAAGAAGCCTATGCTAGCACCACAGCAGTGAGCTGGATTTAACATTTCCTAACATTTCCCAAACCTCTCAAATGGCTGTTAATAGGAATTTTCCCACCTCCAACTCCAACAACCTCCAGACAACATCAGCTTCATCGCAGCCCCAAATCTCTGCAGGCCCAGCGCCTCCACAACCTACTCCATCATACAACCCCTCCCCTCATTTGTCCCCAACTTCCATGCGTCCACCCACTCCCTCTGTTTCACCCATAGATCTTAACTCAGGTCTTATGCAAACTCTCCTACATGTCCGCCTTCTCAGATCATGCAGTAGTCCCCCATGGTCATGCCTCAAATCACTGGCATGCCATTCCACAGTGCATTACCGTTCAACTATACACCGGGCCCCCAAGGTGTACCGCAATATCCCATCCCAACTTAATAGAAAGTATGCCTAAAAGAGTACAAGCTGTAATTAAGGCAAAGGGGGGGTATACCAAGTATTAATATAGTAGAATTATTGCCTGCAACAAAACTGTTCACATGCAATGGGTGACTTCATCTGACAATTACATTGCCATAAATGGGTATATGACCTTGGGCTGATGGAAGCAACATTTTGTGATGTCAGAGCATCTTCTATGAATTTCTCAGGAATTTCAGAATTTTTCCTAAGCCTGTATGAGTGTGTCTTTTCAAAACAGCAAAACATGTGAACAGTTTCGTTGCCCACTGTATCAATGAGTGTTTTGTTGTTGCCACTTTAAAGTGGGCGATTTTGTACATGTCGGTGAAGGAGAGAGAAAGGGTTTAAGGAATAAGTGAGTGTGGGCTGTCACTTTGAAGTGAACGGCGATACATGGGTATTGCAGGGAGAAAAGTAGTGGAGTTTGTTGAAAATGACTTTCGACCCAAAGGTTGTATGTCTTTGGTGTTCCTCACTTGTTCTGTGAGGGTTTGTGTGTAAGTGGTGTTTACACATGAGCGGTGGTGGATGTGGGTCTTTTGATGGAGTAGAGATTTCCACACTTGTTACTTGTGGTTCCTCGCATACAGTATTGTGTGCAGGGCCTTGAGTTGGGGGAAGGTGTTTTCACAGGCGCCTCGATGGCATATTACCGTGTCACTTTCCCTTTTCTCAAGGGTGGAGTCATTGCCCCAGAGGAGGGTTTTCCTCCGGGTTGTTCATCTGGACATCCGATTGCTGTGTCGGATGTGATGATGTAGCCTGGGCTACATTGTCGGGCTGTGGGCTCGACGAAGTGGGCGCTCCCTGGGTGGGAGCGGGTTGTTGTGTTCCTGAGCTACTTGGCTCAGTGTCAGGGACGCGTCCGGGGTGGAGGGGGCCCGGCTGTAGCGCCTGGCAGAGGGACCCTCTCGGGGGACGAAGCAGGCGCGCGTACTGACAGGCCCGATCTGGGACTATAGTCCCTGGCCACTTAGACTGAAGTGGAAAACGTGAATTGTTATTAAAAGGAAGAACTACACTACTTACCTGAAGTGGAAAACATGAGAAGAAGGTTACTTCTTCAGTTCCCACTTCAGGTACATTTATGTACATGCGGCTTGGGTCACGTGACGGGTGCCACGTCATCTGCGGAGAGGGCTGCAGCCATCCAGGTATCCCCGCGGGGGATCCCGAGGGCATCCGCGCATGCTGGGCGTAGCGGGAGGTCGCCCGGGGTGTCCGAGCCGGACGGGTCAACAGTACAATGATACAAGGGAAGGTGGTCCGTGTAAATAGAAAGAATAAACAGAAAGGGAGAGTGAAATAAAGGAGGAAGAGGAAAGAGGGAAGAGGGAGGAAAGGGGAAGAGGGAGGAAGGATGGGTAGCGGGGAGCGGGTGAGCAGGTGAGCGGGTGAGGTGGGCCCAGGTGGGCCCGGGTGGAACCGGGTCAGGCGGGTGTGCCCTGACACTCAGGTGTGGAGTACAGTAGGTCTACCGTTCTTCCCATGGGGAAGGGTGGTCATTGGGCTGGTTGTCCAGTGCGGAGACTTGCGTCTCTTTCCCAGTATTTGGAAGCTTTCGCTTCCCGTTCCGCAGTTCTTGCGGCATGTTCCTCAGGAGTCCTGAGTGGTTTGAACTGGGACTTTAGATAGGTGGCTTTGCCTAGACTTTCCCAGGAGATTTTTCCCTTGTTCTCTGGGGAATTATACTCCTCCATGAGTCTTGCAATACTCAGGAGTCCCAAGAAGTATTTCTCAGTTTCCTTCGCTTTTTTGCGAAGGACTCTGTGTACCTTGCCACTTTTGAAGGCAGCTTCGGCCTGTTCGTACCAGTGTACGAATTCTTTCCCACTCATGCTTGTCCACCAAGTGTATGTGGCGTCGTGTGCCGCTTCTGAACCCGCTATTCTCCTCATGGGGAAGTTGGGTTCAATTGTTATGTCGACTGGAGCTTTGACTTTGCCGAACTCGTTGAGTTTGGCAGTCTCGTATAGCATGTGGACACTTCCCTGCAGGGTAGCTTGCCCATAGGGTGCTGAGGTACTCAGCGGCCCGCCACCTCTGGCAGTGGTCCCCGTTTTAGGGTCTGCTGTCGGTTGCCTACTGCTCTCCCTCTTCCCCTCGACATGGGTTTGCCCTTCTGAGGGCGGGCCCTTATGCAACCCGGACAGGGTCGCCTGCCCATGGGGTGGTGGGATAGTCGGTGCCCCACCCCTTGATGCGCTAGTCCCCATGTGGGGTCGCACCTCATGAGGCCCGGAACCATATCCCCTCCCCCTGACCTGGGAGGCCCCCGTCATAATGGGTTTGGCAGCGAGGTCTGCCAGTGCGCGTGCCTCTCTGAGCTCGCATTTGAGTAATTTGATCTCCCTTTTTTGGAGATCGACCTCTCTCTCTGTGTCTTTCAGAGAGTCAAAGATGCCCTCGGCATCTCTTCATGCTCTATTGTATTCGCACCTCGAGTGGGCGCAATGGTCGCAGCGTCTTCTGATGCCCTCGAGTTATCAGACCGTGCCTGTTTGGATGGTCTGGATGAGGAGCCGCTGTCGCTCCCTCATCTCCCTCCTACAAGGGACTTCATCTCTTTCAGCTCCTCACGGAGCTGACCTGTCTGAGCAGCTACCACTGACACAATGGCTGATTCCCAGCCTGCGTTTGGCTGGGGTGTTGTTGGACCTGGGCCGAATTGGCCAATCCAGGGGTTGATCTGGCCAGGGAAGTTCCCTGGGGAGTATGCCTGGGGCTGCAGCAGCAAATGCTGCCCCTGGAATGGCGCTTGTTGCGCCATTGGTGCAGTTTGCACCGCATATGGTTGGAAGCCTCTTTGAGGAAGCTGGGGGTATGCGGTGCCTGTTGGCAACGCGGATGGTTGTTGGTTTGCAGCACTCATTTGTGCTGCGTGCATCGTGTAATCCATGGCACTTATCTGCGCCTGGTGTTGTTGTTGTTCCAGGGAGCCTTGCTCCCCGGGTTGTCGTATTTCGATATCCGGTGGTTTGTTTGGATCGAACCGAGGGTTGCCTCCCCCAGAGAATGACATTTCGTCGTTATGTTACTCATGGTGGTGGGAGGGGTTTTCGTTCTTGCGTGTTCTTTTGCACGTGAGCCTGTGGTTCACGTGGTCTAGGCGGGTTACTCGCCTAGCCCATGTGATTTCTCGTACATGGTGTGGCTGTCCGGGCGAGTTACTCGCCCAGAACTTTCCCACGCTCTTGGCTGTGGGCCATCGTCCCTCGGCTTTACTTCCTCCGCCTCCGTTTTTGGGGGCGTAGTGATGCCGAGAGTTCCCTGTCTTCTTTGATAGGGAGTTTTTCTGGTTCCCTTACATTTTGTAAGGTGAGGTACTCGTCCAGGTAGGCGAGGTCATTGCAATTTCCTAGGGGTTCCCATGTGGTGTCCCCTAGTTCCCATTTGACCTTAAACCAGAGTTCGTTGTGAACCCATGCGTGGTTTAAGATTTTGCGAACTACTGCTTCATGATCGGGGTCTTCCCCAAAATCGTAGAATATGTTTACTTCCCTATTTGGGAAGATTTCTTGGTCATTCAGCTTGTGAGGTACGAGCTGGGATACATGGAATCTTGGGTGGATTCCGCATTGTTCAAGTTGTGGTGGCAACTTGAGGACGTAGTTTGACGTCTCTGGAAATGTTTCCAGAATTTCGTAAGGCCCTATGTATAAGGGCTTTAGTTTTCCTGCCCTTCCTTTGGGTAGGTTCAGCTTATCCGTGGATAAGTATGCAAGCTTGCCTTTTCTCAAAGGCGGGTCCGGGTGTCTTTTCTTGTTTGCCTGGATTGTTTGAGCAGTGCGATTGTGTATTATCGCGTCGTGTGCTGCCATGAGGTTTTCCTTCGCTTTTTGGGTGAAGTCATTTACTCCTGGTAGTCCGAGAGTGGTGCTGTTAGGCACATCTTTGGCATATGGCCATAGATTAATTCAAATGGGGCAAATCCTGTCAATGTGTTCGAGCTCGCATTGATCGCGAATTCTGCCATCGACAGTTTCGCTGCCCAGTCGTGTTGATCTGGTCTAACCATCGCACATAGTATTTGTACTACTTTTTGTATCATTCTTTCC